CTCTTACCTTGGAGATTTTACCATTGTACGTATCATTACACGTGACAAGTTGGCGAGGCTACCAGGGGGACTCACAACAAAACTTCAGTTCACATGTTTTGAAAGATGACTCAAGATTCCAAAGACATACCGAAAGCGTTGGCAAAATTCGTTGCTGAACCAGAAGAGTTCTCAGCTGGCGACAAGAAGAACCCTCTTACTTGGTTTAGGCGTATTGATCGTATTCGTCGCTCATTGGGATGGAAGGATGAAACTGCAATCTTGGTGGCGGCTTCCCATTTACGTGGTCGTGCCGAGTTGTGGTGGGACTCTGTTGAACATCGAGTGACGGATTGGAAGAAGTTTGATTTTGAATTCAAGAAGCAGTTTTGTGCCGAAATGGAAGACGTCTGGTGGGGTGAAATTCAAACCAAGCAACAAGAGAAAGGTGAATCGGTGGACGACGTGGCGTTAACATTGCGTGATTTGTTCAAGTTGGTGGAGATCAAGGATGAAAAGATCATGGTGCGTTATCTTATCCAAGCCTTGCGAGCCGACATTGCTGTTGAAGTGGAAAGGCGAGGACTTCCTAAAACATGGGAAGAAACAGTATCGCAAGCACGCAAGGTTGAACAAATTAATCGCAAGTATCAAGCTCCTACTCTTGCACCTACTGGAAATCGGATTGGTGGAATAGCTGCTGCATCAAACTATTCATCGGCTTCATCATCTGCATCGTCATCCAACAAGGAAGATGAAACAAGTAGCATTGGAAGTACGTTGACTGAATTGGTGAAAGAGATGCAAGCGTTGAAGATAAATTTGGTGGATCGTAAAGAAAAGCCAAGACGACCAGCTGGACCAATCAAGTGCTTCGTGTGTGATGAAGAAGGGCACAAGTCATTCCAATGTCCTAAAAAGCAAGAGGGAAAAGACCAAGGGCGTCAGTAGAGGGGAATATTGACGCCCCAAACAAATCCGAAACATCCCCAAAACATACAAGGCCGAAAGACACTAGTGAGGTGAAACTAGTGGAAACTGCTGAAATTTATACAGCCCAAAAACGCCAAGTCGCTCCTTCTTCTGACGGAATATCACCACCACCAAAAAGACGAGACAACAAGGAAAGTCCAATTACTCAAGACGTCGAAATGGAGGAAAGACCAATCAGTAACCAAGTGCCGAGGAGAAAAAGAAATCCACCGAGGAGATTGCCAGTACGACTCAACAAGAAGGATGTATGGAAAAAGCTGGCACAAACGGAAGCTGGGTTATCCATGGCCGATTGGGTGTCTCTTGATAAGGCTGCATATAAAGATGTAGTCGATGGATTGAGATACTTGCATGGTCGAAAGGTCAAGAAGGTGGCGTCATCAAAAGCTGTCAATCTCGTGGATGTCGAAGTGGATGAAGATGAAGATGCACAAGAATCCGAGGACATGGAGGAATCGGAATGGAGCGAAGACTATTCATCCACTGAAGAATCGGAATATGATAGCGACGACACCGAGTGCAATTATCCTTATGACTATGAGACAATGAAGAAAAGTCGTCCCATGAGAGCCCCTGTGGCTATAAACGGAGAAGTTGTGCAAGCTGTTTTCGATTCGGGAGCAAGTGTTTCAGTCATTAGTCGCAAGTTGGCACAAAGATTGGTTCTCAAGGAAAACAAGGATGAATTATATCTTACCGGCATTGACAAGGAAATTGGAGAGCCAAGTCGTATTGCACCCAATGTGCCAATCAGAGTTGCAGGGAAGTTGAGGCATGAGCATATGTGTATTCTTGATACTGAGCGGGACCTTTGTTTGATAGGCATGACGTGGTTTAGAGCCCACGATGTGAGACTTGTACACAAGACCAATACCATTGTCATCCCTACCAAACAAGGAACCGCCAGTGTCGAGTTGCAAGGCCAAAGCATTGAAGACAAAGAAGAAGCCATGGAAACACCTGCACCCATTTTATCGGTATCCATTCGAGACCAAAGTGACCCAGTCAAGGATGTTGTTGGGTACATGGAGGAAACAATGACTGAACCGGATTATGGACCATTGCCAGGAGAAGTGGAAGCCATCTTGAGTGAATTTGATGATTGCTTCGTCGAAAACTCTGGATTGGGAAGGGTTGAGGAAATTGCTCACACTATTGAAACCACTACCGACAGGCCAATTCGCTCAAGACCTTACCGCTTATCATGGGAAGAAGAAGAGTGTTTACGCAAGGAAATCGACCAATTATTGGAGTTGGGCTTGATAAGACCATCCAAGGGAGAGTGGACTTCACCAGTCTTCTTTGTACGCAAAAGGAGTGGAGCTCTACGACTCGTGGTAAATTATCAACGCCTTAACTCGATCACTGTCAAAGATGCTTTTCCTTTACCTCGTGTTTACGACTTGTTGGATTCGTTGGGTGGTGCAGAATGGTTCTCAACTTTGGACGCTGCAAGCGGCTATTGGCAAGTACCCATGGATGAGGATTCAGTGGAGAAAACAGGATTCGTGTGCCGACAAGGAACTTTTGCATGGAACGTGATGCCTTTTGGATTAACTTCGGCGCCAAGTACGTATACTCGGATGATGGAAAAGTTGCTTGGACCATACATTGGGAAGTTCTGTTATGTCTTTATCGACGATGTGGTGGTTTTCTCACGTACCTTCAATGAACACATGCAACACCTTGTCAAGATCATGGACATCTGTAAGGCAGCAAACCTCAAGTTGAAGAAGTCGAAATGCGTGTTCGTGCAAAGAAAGGTGGAATACCTGGGTCACGAAGTTGGTCGGCAACAACATGGAGCTGGTTTGTGGCCTTGCGGAAGAAACGTGGACAAGATTATGAACATGCGTTCACCCAAGAACGAACGAGAGCTGCGATCGGTGTTGGGTTTGCTTAACTTTTATCGGAGATTCGTGCCGAACTACGCTGAAAGAAGTGAGCCATTGACAAGACTACTGAGCAAGGGACGCACCTTTACATGGGAAGAAGAACAAGAAAAAGCATTCAAGGAACTCAAGGAATATTTTACCAAGCCACCCCTTTTGGATTTTCCGGATAGAGAAAAGGTGCAGATTCTCACGACTGATGCCTCGACCACAGCTATTGGAGCTATACTTTCACAATCACCAACCGGTTCAACAGACGGAGAAGGAATCATTGCTTATGCCTCAAGAAAGTTTCGTGGATCAGAACTCAATTACTCAGCAACCCATTTGGAAGCCTTGGCAGTCGTTTGGGGCATCAAGCAATTTAGACACTACCTTGCTGGAAGAAAGTTTGTGTTACGCAGTGATCATGCAGCCTTGCAATTTGTCCTCAGCAACCCGAGCCCCAATCCCAAGATGCAAAGATGGGCCGCGGCCATCATGGAGTACGACTTTATTTTCAAACACCAACCAGGATCAAAGAACCCGGCAGATCCCCTCTCAAGAATGATTCATTGATAAGAAGAAATACAAGGGACCTCAATATGACGTATGGATAACAATATGCCTTTATGATTAAAAGAATACAATTCCGATCCTTAGATTAGACATCTCAAAAATATAAAAGCAGTGTACTTTTGAATCAAAATAAATCATCGTATTATCTTCTCTTGAAAAAGAACGTGACCCTGTGTTGAGTTCAATCCTTAAAAGCCGACCTTGAATGGAGTATCCTAGATACCTGGCTCTATATTATTACCTTGCCAACAAGCGGTATCCCTTAGGTGCAACCGAAACGGATAAACGCAGGCTACGTGATCAAGCCCGAAAGTACTGTTCCGTTAATGGAAGACTATATCGGAAGGGCGAAGGCAATCAAGTATATCCAGGGCGAGAAGTATTACATCAAGGCAATGCAGAGGAGGTCATCAACAAGGTCATTTAGGATCAAACAACACATGGAGAAAGCTGCAAATCCAATACGATTGTCCCAAGTTATTTAATCAAGTCAAGGAAATTGTGAGGTCTTGTCCTACTTGTCAAGCTAGGAAAAAGAAAAGCCCCAAGAAGAATGAACCAATGAGGCCAATACCCACTCCCTCAAGACCATTCTACATGTTGGGTTGTGATGCTGTTGGCCCAATTGATCCAATAAGCAAGAACAATAATCGGTATTTGCTGGTAGCCATTGATTATCTTACTAGATGGCCAATGGCGAAAGCAGTACCTGATATCACTGAAGAGACGACAAGTGCCTTTCTTTACGACATCGTTAAGGATTATGGAGTTCCTTCATACTTACTCACTGATCGTGGAAGTAATTTTACTTCCCGATACACCAAGGCCTTCCTCAACAACCTGGAGTGCAGACATCTTACAACCACGGCCTATCGGCCACAAACAAACGGCATGTGTGAGAGGTTAAACCAAACCTTGGTTCAAACTTTGGCGAAGATCATTCGTGACAAGGATGCCGAAAATCGTTGGGATGAATACGTTGGTGCAGCTCTTTTGGCTATAAGGACAATGCCAAATGAATCGACAAAGTATTCACCAGCAATGTTGTTATTTGGTTATGAGATGAGAACGCCTTCCACTTGGCCAGCCCCACAGCGTGATTACATTGAAGGAGAAATTATTGAAGAAGTCGAACGAAGAACAAGAATCATCCAATACTTAACAAGTACTCTACATGCAAAGGCGAAGGAAACAGCTGAGAAGGAAAAGAAGAGGCAAAAGCAAAGATACGATCAAGATGTACATCTTCGACGTCGCTTCAAGTTAGGTGAACAGGTGCTCATGAAGGATAGTGCACCAGTTGGGAAGTTTTCTGATCGGTGGATTGGTCCACTCACGGTGACAAGGGTCAATGATAGTGGTACCTATCATTTACAAGGACCAGACATGAGACGGCTACAAGGTGCAGTGAACGGGGATAAATTGGTGCCCTATTATCAGCACAAGCGAATGATTCCCGATGTCCAAGTTCAACAAGCGGCTCAAAGATTTGAAGCTTGGATCGATCGACACGAACCAAGGCAATGAGTGGGCAGTCTTCGGGCTAGGTAGGGGCAAATGACACGATGTGTTGCTGGTTTTCCGCCCTCGCCTGCCCAATCGAGAAAAGCTCGGTCCTTCTTTTCTTTCGGTCCCGGATTGCCACGTGGGAACCGATCTTTCGGATTTTGCTGCCTTTATTTCTTTTCGCACTACACATTCATTCTTTTACTTATTTGACAGGTCCCTACACTTTCTGATGTTATATGCTTTACCCTTGTTATTCCATGATCTCTATTTAACACTAACACACAAAAGACAGGTCCCATGAAGACACCTTTATTATCATCACTATCCCCTTTACCTCTATTATCCATGTCATCCCAAAGGTCCCGAGCTATGTTATCATCATTT